AAATATATATATATATATAAATATATATATATATATATATATAGATATCATTATGGCCGTGGACTAAGCTGATAAATCTTAGTCCGTGGTATCACCMCAAGTGAAATGTGATTACCGATTACCTAATGAGTAATTAATAATAAGTTCGGATCACTCATTATTAAGAATTTTGAGTTGGTAGCAATGCAATCCGAACGAGAACGAAATTGAACGAATGAACAACTTTTTATTATTTCACGATCCGGATTGTTTCGTTCACAGGTTTGACACGTTCAATTCTTCAATTTGATCCGTTGGTTTTCGAACRACACGTCATGTTTAGTTTACACGCTATGCTTTATAAAACTCTTTATGACAAAGAAGATGAGTATGAAGAATATGGAGAACACATTGCTGGCGAAGAAGAAGCATTAGGTAGTATACAAGAGGAAGTACTTGGTAATGTTATTGATGATGTTAGTCAAGAAGAAGTTCTAGGTCCAGTATATAGTGAGAAAGAAAATACAAATGAAAAATTAATAGGGCCAGAATCAAAATTTGTTAAAAAATTAGAAGATGCTGAAGAAGTAGTTTTAACACCAGAAGTTATAGGAGAGTTAGAAAATAAACATTTTTTTTATGGACTTGATGATGATAATTTTGAACCAATAAAAAAAAAACCAAAACTAAGCAATGAAGATGGTAATAATGCAAATCCTCATAAAACTATTGTTATGCATATACCTCAATTCATTCGATGCAACAAAGGTGGTCAATCTATTCAAATTCAGTGAGTTGTATTTTATGAATATAATTAGTAGATTAAGTAAATTATTCACTGCTCAAATACATTTTAACTATTAAGTTATACTTTTATATTATTGCAGAAATATTGTTTGTGGTGCAAATATGGGATGTCCTCTGGACTTGGTAAGAATCGTCATGTGGACTAGTAATTCTGAGTATAACCCACAGCGATTTAATGGATTAATTATGCGTCTTCGTACACCTAATGTCACCAGCTTGTTATTTCCATCAGGCAAAATGATCATGCAAGGCGCTAAGGATGACCTAACTGGAAATTTAGGATGTCGAAAAATAGCAAAAATTTTAGAGAGACTGGGACACAATGTTGGTTTTATATTATATATCTTCTTATATTGTTATTTGATAACCTAACCAATTGATTATTTAGGTACAATTTTGTGACTATACAGTGCACAATATTGTTTGTACATGGGATGTTGGTTTCCCAATAATGTTGGAAGAATTAAATACTGCTCACTCACAGTTTACCAGGTACTTAAATTTKTATTACAAATGTTTTGTTTTTCTACTAATTTGTATAAACCTAACTTAATATACAATTTAAAAATTTCATCTTAAACATAATATATTTATTATCTGTTATATATTAAAGTTG